TCCCTGAAGTTATTAACAGAACACCTTTTCCATTAGCTGTGTCCTTTTCTACCAAAAAATTCCTCTCTCTCTCTTTTTCAAGATATAGGAGAAGACCATCTAGCAGAACTTCTGTCAAGGGGATTACCCCAACTTGTGCTTTTCCATCAAGTACATGATAGAAGAGTCACAAGGGAAAGGAGATAAAAGAATGTTAGAATCTATATAGAACTACTTAGCCTATCTATCTGTATGCAATGAAATTTCATTTTAATGTATGCCAATTAGTGTATATTCAAAGTGACAATAAAGTCATTATTCTATTCTATTCTATTCTATTCTATTCTATCCTATCCTATTCTATTCTATTATTATCACATTACAAGAATTTTTTTCTTAGCTATATACATTGCACACTGATTAATGAGAATGAATGAGAAAAAGATCTTTGCTTTGGTGACTTTGTCTTTCCAATGACAATTTGAAAAAAAAAAAAGGAGAAAGAGCTTGTAGTGAGTGAATAAGCCCTGCCATATAGTCAAATATTCCTAATACCCAAATTTCATTGAAATAGGGATTTAACACCTTTGGTTTCTGAGTAAAAGGTGCCTGATTAGCATGTAGATAGAAGGGTACATTATTATCACCATTATTATCTTCACCATCATCATCTGCCTTTCTTGGCAAATCAGGTCACAGGCTGTGAAAATCCTATTTTTCTGTTACACCCAGAATAGCGGGGAGGAAGACAGTCCCCAAAGAGATAAGCAGTGTAGCTTAAGTCCCCATTCTATTATGCTTCCCTATGGTTGTGAAAGTTGGACTTTAAAAAAGCAAGAGAGGAATAAAATCAACGTATTTGAGTTTTGGTGCTGGAGAAGGCTCTTGCATATTCTCTGGATGTGTGTCTCACTTATTTTGGTCATGTCATGCAGGGAAATTCACTGGAGAAAGCAATAATGTTTGGAAGAGTTAGCGGTAAAAGGAAACCAGGCTGCCAAAGAACACGGCAGCTGACACCAGCCAGAGCACAGAACAACTCAAAGAAGAAGTACAAGATCGGAAGACATGGATAGAATCGCCAAGAGTTGGACATGACTGAATGGATAATAGCAGCAGCAGCACAAGTAAACTACCTAAAAGCTGATCTTGAGAGATTTTTCTCTGAATAGTACCAAAGAGGGAAATATTAATATACATATATCCCTCTTATTCACTCCCCAATACACAGATCCCCATGCTCTGAGGTTCATTATGTTCTTATAAGAATTTTCTATGAGCTTCAATTAGACAAAATGTCAAGTCTACATTTCAGGAAGCAGTTGACTTTCTTTCATAGCTAAATTGCTGAATCTGTGGGGTCTTTGGTGCTCTCTGAGCTTGGTTGTTTTCTTGCAGACGTTTCATTACCTAACTAGGTAATATCATCAGTGCTGGAAGGGTGTGAGATTTGGTGTCTGTTTATATAGAAATGGTTTGCCTGGTCACCAGTGCTGGTGGAACTGTTTACAATCTTACATTGTTAAATAAATTGTTTAGAACCTTCTATCCATCCAAGATCTTCCCCTTACCCATAACAAAAGAGCTAATTGAAAATAGTCCAATAAGATTCCCCAATAAAGTCCAGTAAGGTTTCCCAATAAAAAGCATAAAATAAGAACATACAGAGGTCCCTTGCAAGTGCCTCTACAAAGTCACTAAAATAATCCTGACTTTGTCTGATTACCTAATTCACAGAATTGTTGTGATGAAAAAAATAGGAAACAATACACAAGCTACTGAAGCTTGTGCTTTTGCAAGAATTGTAGATAAATATAAAAGGTATATAAAAGAGGAATAAGCATTCTTTTTCTTTCCTTTAATGTTTGCATTATCTCAAGACTCATTTCCACCTGTGCATCAATTTTAATATATCCCAGTTTGGGTACAGCACACTTTCCAAAATTGGATTTTGAACATTTTGTACTTTTTATTTATCCTATTTGATTGAACATATTATTCTGTAAACAAAATTTTACCTAGCAGAAAGCCAAACCAAGGAAAGAAAATTCTTGACTGTGTTTGATGCTCTCTATTAGAATACCAGATTTCTCAAGGTAGATTTGTCAGATTCAAAACAATACTCAGGTTTAAAGATCTCTATTAGGGAATGCATCTCACATTACATTTGCAATGTAATTTCTTCCTATGATCACTAGTGGTTACAAGGAAGAAGGATGCTCAAGAGGATTTGGGCCAAATCTTGGAAGAGATGGTTATCAGGTCCAGAAGAAGGAGCCACTCAAACTCATGCAGGACTCAAGCATGAAAGAGCAGTAATTGTTCTGACAATGTCTTTGTCTATATACAATATAAAGTAGCATCAAGTGCTCAGATTGTCAAAACTGAGCAATATGCCTGCAGGTAACTTTAGACAATACTAAAGAGCATCAAAAGGCACTCACAAAAATCAGAATCTTCAGTCATAATGATGAAAGCAGCATCCTGCTATGTGACACAAGCTCCACCCCTTTGATAGATATTTGCAAGAACACAATACAGATACAAAAAGGATGGAAAGCATCACAGTGACTGCTTTCATCATTAGCTCCAGTTTCCTGGCTCATGGACAATTCTGAAGAACATTTCAAGAGGGGGGGGGGAATGAGATAAGATAGGTTTGCAGAAATAACTGCATACTCAGTGCTTGCTTGAAAGGAAATAAATATACATCGATTTTTTTATTCAGTAAGTAATACTGTCATATGAAAGCATAGGTTGCTTAGTTTATCTATGCTTTACAACTATCATGGTACTTTCTCCATTACTAAAGGAGAAAGAGAGAGAAAAGAGAGATTGTGGAACAGAAAAGGAAAATTGAGATAGTGGAGATATTGTTAGACGCTTCGCCTAGGATGGGAGGGCATCCACTATGGTAGGTGAAACAGCCATTTTGATAGTGGAACATCAGTTTTGGAGAAACCCACAAAAGCAGTGTGTTTTTTGGGGGGTTCACCTGTGATGTCTGTGTTCTTTAGGGCTTTATTCTCACTCTTTCCTTTAAGAAGACTTTGTAAATGGATAGGTCCTAATGTGTTGTCCATGGTTCTGCACTTGAGAGCTGTTTATACTTTTCAACTTAAGTCTAGCACAGTGTTTTTCAACCTTGGCAACTTTATGATGTCTGGACTTCAACTCCTAGAATACCCCAGGCTGCCTTCCGGAAGTTGAAGTCCACATATCATAAAGTTGCCATGGTTGAAAAGCACTGTTCCAGTATAAAGTATGAATTTTAATAATGTATTTGGAAACACGGATCTAATGCAGTTGGACTGTCAACCCATCAGTGTGGGCCAGGTCAGGAAATCAGATACCATTGAACTATGAAGTTCTCTCTCTTGTTGTAGGGTATAATAATAGTATCTTGAAAGTTTCCCAAAGTTTATATTCTCTCTTTTGGCATGCAAAGTTGCGACGGATCTCTTTCTTACAGCTAACTCCTTTCCCAAGGGTGAGATTTATGTCAACAACTTTCATGTAACCTTCACTATCTCTCCTACCTCTACCGGGACATATGCTGTACCAGGGGATCATATGTAGTCCTACTCAAAGCCGTAGGTGTGGTTCTCAGAACTGTCAAAAGTTGTTACCAACTTGTAGTTTTGGAGTTAATAGGAAGAGAAAATTGTTAAGTGTACAACTAGAATGTAATCATGACTATACTGAAATTTATTAACTCTAAATGTAAATTTAATTGACTGCAGTTATTGCCCTGACCATACTCATTAGTTTTTGGAGCATAGTTATTCAGACGCTAAACGTTGCCCTTAATCCATTCCAAATCAGGTGACCTTAACCTACAAAGCCCATGCTTCAGGCAAACAAACTTGATAAACACTATAATGGCAGAACTTCTCCATGCAAAGCAGCTTTTAGAAACTTACAAAATCCAGCAATAAAGGGAAACTAATAGAATATAATATTTTTCCCCATGGAGTATTCTTGATATATATTTTTTCCTCTTGTGAATATAACTTTGTGTCCCTAAATAGTCCAATTACTGTATAAGAATGGCACTGTCTCCTCTAGGACTCAAGTCAATCAAATGTATTATTTAGAATCAACAGTTATTATTACTTCAATTGATGTGTGTTGAAATCCTGCAATATGTGTTTCGGTTTCCTTCTTTACATTTAAACCTCACTTAAAAGTCCATACTGCTAAAAGTTGCTGGAAGCAGATGCTTGTTATCTTACCAAACCTGGAAGCGTTTACCAATTATTCCTTTTGCTAAAGCCAACCCAAGATCTGTGATTTTTTTGTAAAATGAGTATGTCATACAATAAATAATAATTCTGCACTGACATGTTGTTGTTGGGTTCTGGAAAGACTCTGCTCCTAAGAGTAAATGTTTCAATGGCCAGCAACTGAAATTAAATGAATCTTATTAGCATTTGGCTTGTGGTGACCATGTTAGGACAAAATCTACTAGACATTGGAAAGATATACCCTTTGAGCCATATCAAGAAAGATGCAGTAAATGGATTGTTCTTTGCCAATCCTCTTCACGTGCCATACAGTATTAACCTTGTGAACTCTAAAGCTGCCTCCTTCCATTGTGTATTCAAGATGGACAGTGATTAATATTTATATGTTACTGATATGTAAGGGTGTAGGTCTATACATATGTTGTATAGGGTATGTTTAAATGTGTGTTATGTATGTGTACACTTTGTGAGCAAGCAACTAAATTTCATTTTTAATGTGTGCCGTTGTGCCCACAGTAAAAAAAAAGACCTTAAAGGTTATTATCATCATCATCAACAACACACAAAGGACACACCATGGCTTGGAGCCACTTCATACCACTTTCAAGACCAACACAATACCATTTCATGGGAGAGGAAAGAGGTGAGTGTACTTGAGTGTACTAGAAAACCAATATACTGTAGGTAGTCCTGGACTTCCAACAGTTTGTTTAGTGACTCTTCAAAGTTACAATGGCACTGAAAAAGTGGCTTATGACCGTTTTTCATACTTACAACCATTGCAGCATCCCCACGGTTCCCATGTGATCAAAATTCAGACGCTCAGTAGCTGACTCATATTTATGACAGTCGCAGCCTCCCGATGTCATGTGTTGCCCTTTTGCGACGTTCTGACAAGCAAAAACATCGGGTAAGCCAGATTCAGTTAATTGCAGTCATTCATTTAACAACTGTTACAAAACTCATTTAACAACTGTGTCACTTAGCAAAATAAATAAATAAATAGGGCTCAATTGTGGTTGTAAGTCAAGGATTATCTGTACATTCTTCTGCTCAAGAATGCTACTGTGTTTCCCCAAAAATAAGACCCAATCGGAAAATAAGCCCTAGCATGATTTTTTCAGGATGCTTGTAATATAAGCCCCATCCCAAAAATAAGCCCCACAAGATGGTTAGACAGACAGATGCATTTAGAATCATATTTCCCTGAATATAAGCTCTAACCGGAAATAAGCCCTAATGCGTCTTTTGGAGCAAAAATTAATATAAGACACAGTCTTATTTTCGGGGAAACACGGTAGGTAAGTGAAGTCAGGCTGAACTCTTTTTCCAAAGACCCTATTTTTCTAACCCTTCAAACATGCAGGTCATCTCCAGCACAGCTGTATCTTGAGATGGTTCAGTCTTTCAACCAGATACCATTTCATTTTTGCTGTAGAATAAAAAACGTGCTTCTTGGTTTATTTATGTATTACATTTCTATGGCTCTTCCAAGCTCTATCTAGAATGCCATATATGATCTTATTAAAGAGGAGGTAAAATTCCAAGTAAACAATATTAGCATTAATATTGGGCCCCCAAAAGAAGACCAGGACCATTCCTTCTGTTGGAATATAAATACTTTGATTATTCTGCCTTGTTCAAGAAAGAAGAAGAGAAAAGGATGTTTATATGCTTAACACATTATTGTGTTGTCATCTTTGCATATGGGAAGCAGTAGGGTACAATGGTTAAGGTGACAGAACAGGTGAGGAAAAATCCAGTTTTATATACTTATTTAAAATCCTAGGAGAATCAAGGAACAATTTAGCTCTGTCTGCATAGCTTACTTTATTTTAAAAAATTGTAAAACTATGAGTGCAGGGGAAAGGGGAGAACTTAATATGGGGGGAAAATGGGCTTGAAATATAGCTAGTAACAATCAGACTTCATGCGTGAATTAGCCTGCTTGAGGCTGGCATGATATATTCCTGGGACTTTGATCTTATGCATTTCAAAGTGACAAGGCTTTGAATAAGATAGTCCTGATCTATCTTACAGTTATTGGGAGGGTTGCTGGGGTAAAGACTGCGAATACTGCTATTATTATTTTGGGAGAACTCCAGCACGTAGCACTTCACAGTTATCATCCAATCAGTAAAAATAATTTGGAGTTCTCAGCAATTTTTTTGCGGCAAATTTTTTCCCCGCATGCTTTTTAAAATGGAATCAGCTTTTTCTGTTTACCTCTTCGAATCGTAGCAATGCAGCTGCAGCCCTCAATCCTCCCATCGGGAATGGGGCTCCTGAGGTGATCCCAGAGTCTTCCGAGGATCGCACTGCTTAGGGCTCCATCCCCAGTTGCCTTCTCCAACCGCCTCCTGGAGAAGAGGCCATAATCCCTAGATGGCAGCTGAACTGCTCCCATCTAGCATCGCATGTATGGGGCTAATTGCACATAACAAAACAGCAGCTCTCACGAGAGAAGGAGCTGTTTTGTAGTAAATCTGCAGGTGAGGAGACTTCTCTAGGAAGGCCTTGCCAAGATTCGGGTTTTGAAAACCACATACGTGAAAAGATGTGCAGAGACAGCAAAGTTTAGTCTATGAAAGCTGCCTGCAGCTGGGCCATTCGAGTCTCACCGGCCTTCCACCCTTCCGAGGTCAGTAAAATGAGGACCAAGATTGTGGGGGGCAATTTGCTGACTCTGTAAATTGCTTAAAGAGGGTTGTAAACACTGGAAAGTAGTTTATAAGTCTACATGCTATTGCTATTATATGTATAGGACCAACCTTTCATTTATAGCCCTGTCTAACATTTGTACCTTTGGAAAAGAGAGTTGAGGGCCTTTTCACTTCTTGGGGAGATCAAACCCCAAAAAATAAAATACATTTTCTCAGTTTGGAGGGATTTAAGGAACAAAAGGAGCCGTGGTAGCACAGTGGTAGAATGCAGTATTGCAGGCTAACTCTGCCCACTGCCAGGAGTTTGATCCTGACCGGCTCAAGGTTGACTCAGCCTTCCATCCTTCCGAGGTCGGTAAAACGAGGACCCAGATTGTTGGGGGCAAGAGGCTGACTTTGTAAACTGCTTAGAAAGAGCTGTAAAGCACTATGAAGCTGTATATATGTCTAAGTGCTATTGCTATGGCTAAAATAGGTGCCTCAGACTTCCATAAGTTTTTAAGCTGCTCTTTTTTGACTCTTAAAAGTCCCCCAAACCTTTCAAAACAATCAACAAATCGGCAAAACAAAACAGTTCACTCCTACGGTTTTGGTTTCCTGAGGTAAAAACAAACAGGTCCCTGCAAACAACAACAAACCCTTACTTAATTTGCCTGGCATAGATAATCAGGCCAATGAATTCTGATACTGAACCATTAAGTACGCAGCCTTGAGTCATGAAGGACATACATGTGCAATGGGGGAATAGCAATGAACGATCTGGGTATTTCTTTCCTTCCCCTTCTCATCCAGGTTCCCCCCATCAGTCATGGTGCTGATTTCCCTTGGGGTATCATCATTAAGTTCAGAAATGCGGAGTCAGTGATGACGAACCTCCTTGCAGAGAAGGAGGAGGTGGTGATCGTAGGAGTTTTGTTACACAACAGAGTCCTTTGCTATCTTTTTAAGCCATCCCTGATGAGCTGAAGGTAGCAGCTGTACCCCTTAGGGAGATTCAGTAATGTATCTAGTGCGTACTCGTTCCCTCGGTGCCGATAATCCTCCAGCAATGGTGCATAATGAATTCCAATAAGAACAGCAGAACGTTATCAGCCAGGTTAGGCTGTGTGCAACTTAAAAGAATCTCACGGAGCAGAAGCAACTTCAATTCCACATTGGACCATCATTTATATTCATAAGTGCCGGCCCATCTTAATTTCAGCAAAGCACTTTGCAGACTGAGAAATTATTGGGGTCAGGGAGGACATGGTGAGCACGGCTCCCCAAAGAAACCAAAATTTCATCCCAGAGTCATGTCAGGAGCCACTCCTTAGCTCAGTGGTTCTCAACCTTTTTAATGCCGTGACCCCCCAACCGGTTGTAAGTCGAGGACTACTCAACCGGTCGTAAGTCGAGGACTACTCAACTGGTGCAGCACCATTTGCAGAATGGGACTTTTGGCGGGCTCAGCAGGGCAGAGACAGCCTGGATAATTCCTATTGGCTTTTGAAAGCCAATAGAATTAGACTCTATTCAAGAGAGTCTATTCTATTGGCTTTCAAAAGCCAACAGAATAAAAGGGAGTAGCACAGCTAAGGAAAAGGGGGGAAAAATGGCGGACTGCGTTGTTTGGCGACCCCCGTGAAATGGTCGTTCGACCCCAAATGGGGTCCCGACCCATAGGTTGAGAACCGCTGATATAGATAGTCCCCAACTCACAACAGTTCATTTAATGACCATACAGAGTTATGACCGTTTTTCACACTTACACTTATGGTCACCTGGTCAAAATTCAGATGCTTGGCAACTGACTTGTATTTATGATGGTTGGAGTGTCCTGGGATCATGTGATCCCCTTTTGTGACTTTCTGACAAGCACGGTTAGTGGGGAAGCCAGATTCACTTAACATCCATGTTTCTAACTTAACAACTGCAGTGATTCACTTAACAACCGTGGCACTAAAGGTCATAAAATGGGGCAAAATGCACTTAATGTTTCACTTAACAACAGAAATTTGGGGTTGAGAACCACTGCTTTAACTCATGGTGCTAAGCCAGTCCTCGACGTACGACCACAATTGAGCCCCAAATTTCTGTTATTGAGTGAAACATTTGTTCAGTGAGTTTTGCCCCATTTTACAACTTTTCTTGCCACAGTTGTTAAGTGAATCACTGCCGTTGATACGTTAGTAACCTGGTTGACAAATGGCTGGCTTCCCCATTGACTTTGCTTGTTAGAAGGTCGCAAAAGGGGATCCCATAACCTTGGGATATACAATGGTCATAAATACAGACCAGTTGCCAAGCATCTGAATTTTGATCACATGATCATGGGGGATGCTTCAAAGGCTGTAACTGTGAAAAATAGTCACAAGTCCTTTTTTTTCAGTGCTGTTGTAACTTTGAATGGGTCACTAAATGAACTGTTGTAAGTCAAGTAGTGCCTGTACTTGGAAGCAACCCCTTTCAAGCAACGCTTTCCAGCTCAAGGACTGTCATCTTATTTTCACTGCCTATTTGTAAGTGCAATGAGTAGATCTACTCTGTTTCTGAGAGTAGTTTCTCTCTCAAGGTGTTGTTGTTGTTGTTGTTAATTGCGAAGTCGTGTCCGACCCATCGTGACCCCATGGACAACATTCTTCCAGGTCTTCCTGTCCTCTACCATCTTCTGGAGTCCATTTAAGTTCACACCTACTGCTTCAGTGACTCCATCCAGCCATCTCATTCTCTGTTGTTCTGTTCTTCTATTGCCCTCAATCTTTCCCAGCATTAGGCCCTTCTCCAGTGAGTCCTTCCTTCTCATTAGGTGGCCAAAGTATTTGAGTTTCAACTTCAGGATCTGGCCTTCTAAAGAGCAGTCGGGGTTGATCTCTTCTAGGACTGACCGGTTTGAACGCCTTGCAGTCCAAGGGACTCGCAGGAGTCTTCTCCAGCACCATAGTTCAAAGGCCTCAATTCTTTGGCGCTCAGCCTTTCTTATGGTCCAACTTTCACAGCCATCCATTGCAACTGGGAAAACCATGGCCTGGACTATACGCACTTTTGTTAGCAGGGTGATGTCTCAAGGTGTGCAACCTCTAAATGTCTTGCACTTAGTTTGAACCTGGAACTGTATCACAACAGGTGGAAAATAATCAAGTATGAATAACTTTGCTCCATACCATAAAATAGATCCAGAGATCAGAATCAGACTATTTGCTTTAAAACATGGATCCAGCAAACTGTATAAAGGTTCTTTCCCACATCTAT